AGAATGGATACTGTGGGACCAGCACCATAATGACTTCTAGGAATATTAGCATTTCAAGTTCCGAAAATGGCACTGCTTTTACCCCTAAATATACACTTAAAGATCCAGAAAAGGCTTTGGAATGTCATGCCTTGAACCTGCTTACCTTTTAGCTCTGGAAGGACAGTGCTGCAGAATTACCCAGAAGAATAAGGGCTCCCAGGAGGATACACCAGGTTTTCAAACAGACATTTAAGCCCTGATGTTAAAGAATTCATGTAGGGCTTTCAAAGAAAAGCTTCAAAGCACACCAGAGAGCATCCCAAATCCACTCAGTGAAAAGCAGTGAAAGCAGAGAACTCCACACATCTTGGGCTGCTTCATCTGGACCTGCCCCTCACCCCCAGCTTCCCTAACAAGGAGGAAACCAGGGCATCGCCTAGTTACAGCTGAGAATGTGCACTTAGTATCCTCCCAATTCACATGGGGAAACCAGTCTTAAAGCCAATAGGCGGTCTTCCTGACTCCCAGTTCATTTCCATTTCCCTCCCCCAGATCATGCTGTCATTTCCCCTTTCCTACTAACCTTTTCATTTCTTAAAACCCCTTTGAAGAACTTCTACCACCAAATCTAAAGTTAGATTAATTTCTAGCCAGAGAAGAAAACCTCAACAGCCAATGTCTGGCACCCACGCATACCACCTGCCCCTGCTTCTCCCCAACAGCCAATACAAAGCTGAACCCACTGGTCACACGTCCCCCGTTTTGGCTATCAGGCCGCTGCCAGCTCAGCCCATTATGCCCACTCACGCCATGTGGCACTCCCCACAGAACAAGTGCATGGAGACAACTATGCTGCCGGCGCGTGCTGACCACCCCCCACCCAACACTGTGTTAGATGGAAGCTGGGCACTTCATACTTCTCCAATGACATTGGTCAGCACAGCAGTGTCCAAAAACATGGATTCTAAGGGGGCAGTATAGCTCATGGTAGAGTGTGTGCTTAGCATGCATGAGGTCCTGGGTTTAATCCCCAGTACCTCCTTTAAAATAAATAATAAATAAACCTAATTACCTCCCCCTAAAACAAAATAAAAAACTAATAAAACAAAGTATTAAAAAAATGGATTCTGAGAACACAGTTAATTTTCCGACCTGGTTGTGCCACTTACTGTGTGACCAGGTAATATCCAGTCAACCAGTGTGGATATTCTAAGTTTGGATAATACTGCTCATCTGGGGACTCCTAGAGTCAACAAGACACTCAGATGGCTTGTGTGAGGCCAGCCGGGAACCTGGGCAAGGCACTCAGTCCACGTGGGGGTGGCCTGTAGTGACATCCTAGAGGGGAGCCCTAAACTGAAACCCTGAAGGGCAATGAACTTAGCCAGGGCAAAGGGGCATGACGTGGGCATGCAGACAGGAGCGGCCAGCCGTACACAGGCAGGGAGGGGAGAGAGAGGTTCATGTAGCAAGTGAGAGCAGCTCAGTACAACTGCCACCTTCTGTCCCTTGAACAAGCCGCGCTCATTCTCCTGCCTGTGCCTTCACAGTAACTGCTGCTCAGCATGCCCGCCCGCTGGTCTCTGCGTGACTCCCTCCACACCCAGGTCTCTGCCCCAGTGCTTCAGAGCTGACAACTGTAGCTCAGCCATCCCGCTCTCCTTGACACAGGGAGTTTAGAACTGAGCCTCCCTGACTGCTCCTGCTGTTGTCTCCAAGGCTGCTGGTGTACTGTGCTTGCACAGGAAGATGAATACTGTTGTCTGAGCTACAGTGCAATGGTTGCGTGTATGGACTCTGGTTATTCTTAGCTACACTATCTTGGGCCATTGTACTTCTATACCTCAGTTTCCTCCATCTGTAAAATAGGGATAAGCATCTTTAAATCTCATAAGGCTGTGCAGGTTACATGAGTCGATACAGGGTATACACTTGGATTAGCACCTGTCACAGCCTAAGCATTCAATGAATGTTAGTATTGTTGAAGTGGCTTCCTAGGAACTGGGTTCACTTAGATGGCTTAGAGAAGGTGAAATTTCCGATTTTAACATTTAAATGGAACTGTTAACACAGGGAAAAAAAAGAAAGGGCTTGTTCCCTGGGCAGCTGCTGACACTTCACTCTGTCCCCAGCGGTCCCGCACTTGCTGGATGTGGCCCCAGCAGCCCTGCTCCTGCGCTCTCCTCAACTGGCTCCCAGCACCAAGATCAAGAAAATGTTAAGAGTTAATGATCTTTCAAACGCACCTCCCTGCTTTGAAATGAGAGGCCTGTTTAAAAGGTACTGAATTTGTAGTGGGAAGTGACTGGTTTGAGGAATGTGGGTCTTAAGAGAAAAAAAACTCAAAAGGCAATTATGAAAGCCATTTTAAGTTCCCGGAAGAATTTTAACAGAATTCCATTAAGAGCACTGTGAACAGAAATGGGTAAATGGCAGACATTTAAACGAAGTAAACATTAAACTCCAAAGTGAATTAAAGTACTGAGTATACCCAGAAAGTCTGGCCCATTTTGCAATGATAGCTTAAATGATCCATTTGCTTGCTTGCTTTTGTCTCACTGAGCTGGGACTGAAACTGGTATCAGGGAAGAGACAAAACATAACTGGTAGAGGCCTATCAAATCTTATCTCCCAAGCATCAGACCAAAGTGTCTTGGATCAAGGTACTCACGATCTCTAAGAACAAAGTGCCTCAGTATTAGGTACCAAGTCTGAGACCAAATGGAAATGACAACAGAAGAACGTGGTACTTTATAGCAGCTCTGGAGAGACAATCAGTAAACCAGAAAGATATTAATAAGGAAGAGACCCACAGAGAGGGGAACCAAATTCTCAGATGACACGCCTCCTGTGGCCTCATACTCAAAGGGAGGTCAGACCAACAGCTGACATCACCTGGTAACACCTGTGAGCAGGTCGAAATGCAGAATCAGAATCTGAATTTTTAACAAGGTCCCCGGGGATGTGCACACACAGCAAAGCCTGAAGAGCGCTGCTCTACAGGGTTGTGGACCTCAACCCAGGCTGCCTCTCAGAATCACTTGTCAACTTAAGAAAAAAAGGAAGAGGGAGGGCTCCTATTCCAGTCCAGGTTGAGTCAACCAGAACCCTTCTGAATGTCGAGCCTTTCAGTTTCAGAAGGTGGTTCTGATGAGCATCCTGGTGGACAGCCACCACTCAAGGACCAAGTAAAAATCTACTCTCAAAAGACAAGCAAAAGATATTTATGCCGATATGCATATTTGAGGGAAAATACAGTTAATGGTGGGTGGCCAGGAGTTTACTGGTATTATGAGAAGTAAAATAAGTCAGACAAAGACAAATACTGTATGTTATCACCTGTATGTGGAATCTAAAATATAAAACCTGTTAGTGATTATCTCAGAAAAGAAACAGACTCCCAGATATAGAAAACAAACTACTGGATACCAGTGGGGGGAGGAAGGAAGGAGGGAGAAGCAACATAAGGGTGGGGATTAAAAGGTACGAACTGTTACTTATAAAATAAGCTACAAGGATGTACTGTACAACACGAAACATAGCCAGTATTTTCAAATAACTATAATTAAAAATTGTGAATCACTGTATTGTATGCCTGTAACTTATATAATACTGTACATTAACTATACTTCAATAAAAAATAAAGAATAAAAAAAAAAGAGTAAAGAAAGAATCACTATTTGCAAGGCTTATAAAGACACTTGCAAGATCTTAAGCCAATCAGCCTTCATTCTTGCAGAAGGAGAAACTGCACCAGCCTCCTCTCAGGAGGAATAGCTTGCTTTTCTCAGCAAGTGCTACCTGTTAACTGCATCATCCTCTCAGGCACCCACCTTGCTCGTCTGATTGGGTTTTACCCCAGGCCCTCGAACCAACAGTGGAACTTTGATGTCAAACTCATACAGCTGTCTCTTGTCTATTGGCAAAGAAAACTGTCCTGAAAAAGACAAAAAATGCAAAGGGTAAAGACGGAGCCAAGACAGAAGTGTCAGTCATGCATCTGTTCATTTAATTAACAGTAAAAACGAAAACAACCTTGTTCTACTAATTGTGGTGTTTTAACGGAAAGCTTAAATTTGCCTGGGTTTCTTATCACTACAAGGCAGGAAACAATGAGCTCATCTTCTTTAAACAAATGCCTAGACTCCGTAGTCTAACACAGGCAAATTCAGCAAAAGGAATGGCCGGAAAGTTTTGAAGCACAAATGCATAATTTATGCACGATACTCCACCTGCTCACAATTGAAGGAGGTTACTCTAAAAGCTGCTAAGTAAAGGAGCAAAATCATTCACCCAGCCTTTCCTGAATAAATTGCATTTCAAGGTAACCAAAGGACAAGGGGAATTCTCTAAGGAGGCGAAAGGAAGGAGTTACCAAGTCAAAGCTTGCAATTTCTGAGGTAACAGTTTTAAGCAATAATCATCAATGGAAACTTTAGCCACCAAAAGGTTCAGAGGACTGGCTCCGGTTGAAACCACAGGAGCCATCAATCAACATTAGCATCTCTGAAGTGGGGCAACCAGACACCACAGGCGTCAGCGTCATGCTGTGAAGACACAGGAAGTCCACCGCAGCATCAACAAGAAAGCATTCTTGCTGAAAACTTGAATTTCTATTAAGACTCTAGCTCTAACTACCAATCCATAGGGAATGGTCAATATAGATAAACAAGTTAAAGCAATCAGCTAAATCTAGAATCTGAGATATTTAGGAAAAGGTCAGTTCTTCCAATTAATCGGTGGCAAAGCACAGCCTTAGAATACACAAAACCTAAAAACAGCATGTGGACTTTGTCTAGATCCTGATACACAACAAACGAGTCGCGCACACAATCAAGGGCTGATGGGTGGAATCATAACATCTGGAGTTCCTTCAGAAACTTCCAGCTAAAAAAGAAACACAAAGGTGGGAGGAATTCAAATGACTGGGCCCATGCAGCTGAAAACTGGAGAATGGTTATTTTACTAGTCTCTACTTTGAGCGCCTAAAAATAGTCACAATAATACAATAAATGCCTAATTGATCTGCTTCTGTGCAAGCAAGCCTCAGATAAATTCAAGTTTATGAACTCTAAACGTGGAAGAATACACTGACTTTTTTTCACTAGAGAAGATCCAAGCAGAAAGGATGAAAGTCGAGGACATGGGGCTGACTCATACTGCAGTCGTGAAAAGACAAACAACAATTCATAAACCACACACCCATACACCCACACCCATCAAGAAAGCTAATTTCACAAAGCTTCGCCTCAAGACAACGCTCTCTTGGTCTTTCTGTGTAAAATGTCTTAGTCCTATTTTTTAAGATTGACTTGTCCTTTAAATCTAGTTCAATTTCTCACCCCGATAAAGCCTACCTCCAACCCGTCAAGTTCAGACTCCTAGAAAGCCATGCAAAGTCAGCCTGTGAAATAGCCAATTATGAAACCTGGTCTCTCCACAGGGGAATGAATTGGCCCTCAAACCAGAGAGGCCCCGAGGGCAAGACCCTCCAGCTGGCCTGTCTACTGCTGCAAAAGGACAGGAGCTCCCCGGCAGCACTACTGATTGGGAGAGAAAGGAAAGGCACCTCACAAAGGTCACGGGACCACCTAGCCCTGCCCCTTGCCTGTGTGATAGGGACCACCTAGCCCTGCCCCTTGCCTGTGTGATAGGGACCACCTAGCTCTGCCCCTTGCCTGTGTGATAGGGACCACCTAGCCCTGCCCCTTGCCTGTGTGATAGGGACCACCTAGCCCTGCCCCTTGCCTGTGTGATAGGGACCACCTAGCCCTGCCCCTTGCCTGTGTGATAGGGACCACCTAGCTCTGCCCCTTGCCTGTGTGATAGGGACCACCTAGCCCTGCCCCTTACCTGTGTGATAGCCGTTGTCTGAGGTATAAAAGATGTAGGTGTTGTTGAGCTCCCCATTGAACTCCAATCGCTTGATTAGCTTCTCCACGAGGTCATCCACTGAGAGGAGAGTCTGCCACCTGGATGTGAACAGGGGGTGGCAATGGGACCGCAGAGACAATGGCTGAAGTACTGCTCTCTTGCCGAAACAGCAAACGCGATGTCCCAAAGCTCCCCAAACAAAACCAAACCCCCAAAACACTCCCAACCTTCCTCCCAAAAAACCCGCTCAAAGCCACTCTCCCCAAAAGCTCGAATCCCAAACTCAGAACAAAACAGAGATGAGGAAATTTCAAACGTATTAGTTCATCCCAAATTTAACCGATTCCAAAGAAATAGAGACTTTTTTTTTTAAAACAACCAGTTTTATTATTTATCATTAACTGGTGATAAGAGTAAAGATTACTGGAAGGGGAAGTTGTCAACTTAGCACTGATTAAGAGAGATTAATTCAGACAGACCTGTGCTACAACAGTGTTTAATAGTCTAAACGAGGAGTCAGCCAACTACAGTCACGGGCCATAGCCTGACCACTTTTTGTGTTTTTAAATTGTGTTACACACAGGTCAGTAGTGTTAAGTATATTCATATGGTGAAACAGATCTCCAGAACATTTTTATCTTGAAAATCTGAAACTCTACACCCACGAAACAACAACTTGCTGTCTATTTTACAAAAAGTTTTGTTGGAACACAGCCACGCTCATTCATTCACATACTGCCCAGGGCTGCTTCTGCACTCCAACAGCAGAGCTGAGCGGCTGCAACAGAGACTATGTGGCGTGCAAGCCTATCATACTTACTATCTGACCCTTCACAGAAAAAGTTTTCCAACCCCTGATCTAAAACTGAATTCACCTTAAGTGTCGTGCTTTAAGAAACTGACTTTGGAATTTCTTGAAAACTGAAACCGACAAAGGCAAATATTATGCTCTAGTCTAAGCCCTTGGGTCTTATGCAAATATTGGGGCTGATATCTCACAAAGTGACCTTTTCTGTAGACATAGGGAAAAAAAATTTTTTTTAACCAAATGGCTCCAGTTTGCAACATTTTAATAAGTCATAAAAATGAACTGTTTAATTAGTTCTAGGGTCCAAAGGCCACCTCGTAGATGAATGTAAAGACCTCCCATCAACTTGCTACCCTCTGAGAGATAACCACATGGTGCAGCCCGTGCTCATGGGCTGCTTCAGAGGGTCCTCAAAGACCACCTTGACTGAGAAAGGAGCAGCTCTTACCTTTTCCTAAACGCATTATCTAAAAACTGTATTGAAGAATTAGTCATCGGGGTCTTGGCTTGCCTAATGAGCCAGTGCTTGTTCTAAAATTTAAAAGGAAAAAAAAAGTTAACAGCAAGTCACCATAATGAAATAAACTGGGTATCAAAGATCATTTTATACTTCAGTGAAAAGGAACTCCCTGGAGCCTCCTGCTTAACTTCATCCTTTTCCTCTGCCACCCACACCCACTTCCCTCCCCCACGTTGGTAAAAAAAACTTTGTGCAAATCATCACTCATTCTTTAGCTTCTTCCCATCAACCTCCCTAACAGCAAAAAGCCTGGGCTCCTTTGCTAGTAGCTTTAATAAGAGATTTAGTGAAAGTTACTCGAAGCTACTGACTAAAAAGACATTAAATTTATAGCCTGGAGTCTATGCTTTGGGTCTACCACGCAAACCACAAAAGGGTAAACACTAACTTTACCTTCCTCTAAGTTTTGCCTAATAAGTCATCATTCTGTCACCCTCTATTTTCCTACCTAAGGTATCGATTATCCTTGGACCTTGGGGAAAATCTCATCACAGCAATTTCCTAAAACTTCAAGTCCAAATCTGGAGAGTTCTTCTCATTTAAATTAAGAAGTCACAGTTGAAACCAAAACATTGCCGAACACCAGTGTCTCCTATTCCTATACCCTAAGCCACCCTCTCCCAAAATCATGATCCTCCAAGTGTTTTTTAGTTAACATGCCTGATGAATGCTGTAGAGCATTTCTTGCTGCAAATTCACATTGGAACATTAACTGAGAAATTCTGTAGCAGAGTCTTATTTAACCTGATGTTTCTAAACTCACTTGGTCATGGGAACTTCTATGAACTTCTTTTGGAACACAGTTAGAAAATGGCCCTCTGGTTTAAAGTTCAGTTCACTCAGCTTTAATGTCATATGTAACAGGCACAGGCCGATAATGTTAATCCACACAGCAGTTGCATGAGGGATCAGGATCCCCCACTCTTAAGAGAACAATGGAAGTTAAGCATCTTGCTCGTGGTCAGGTCACTTAACTAGGAAGTGGTAACACTGAGTCGAATTCCAAGACTCACTCTTTCTACCACCTCACAAGCAACTAAGATCTCTGGGTAACAGGCATGAGGCAGAAGAGGCCCAGCGAACGGCCTCTCCCCTGTGCCAGGGGAAAGGTAAGTTAAGTGGCATGTGAGGTGAACAGCAAGTAGGTTGTGGCCCTTCATTATCCTCCCTGCTCTGGCTCATTTCTCCGCTCAACTTCGCTTCCCGGTCACACTGTACTGCATCACCCCTCTTCATCCTACGCCTGGTGCCTGGTGAGTGCCACCCAGAAGAGACTGCTGCAGGCCCAGCTCAGCCACAAGGGATGTGTCTCCGCCACTGCCAGGCAGGGGGAGAGCCAGCACAGAGGTTATCAGAAAACCCTGCATTCAGAGAGGATGACATGTCTTTACCATTCCCTATGGACTCTCCAGCTGCTCACTGGATGTGTGGCAGGAATCTTATCTGTACCCCTGGAGCAAGTTTATACTACCTAGTGTACTAGAAACAAGTGTAATTACTGTTAAAATCTTTAGAACGAAGACTAACTACATGGCTCAAAGGCTCCCTGCTGAGTGTATTTTACAGTTAACCACATCAAGCATGGCTTAATTCAAGGGTCAGGGGAAACTACCGTTCCATGGATGTTGAAGTTCTTGTTTCTTGGCGCAAAGACGTTCTGGAAGGTGTTCTGGTACTGAGGTGCGGCCGTCCAAGGAGAATGAGGCGCTGGAGTGGAGATCATCATGAAGAATGGCTCAGAGTTGGACTTGTACTCCAGGAAGTCCAAGGAGACATTGGCCTGACACATACAAAGACTTGTCATCTCTTACCCTACCCGACAGCTGAGGTTTTGATAGACACGTGTTCTCTGGGGAACAGAGGGTATGGGGCCCTGTCAGCTTTCAGCCAGTCTTGGCACACAATTTACATCACAGTCACTTGCAAGCATGTTGCTAGAACAAATCATGTGGCTTTCAGGGAAATACTTACAACAAGAAATTGAAAAGCACACCATCCTAGGAAAGCAACTAAGAATTGTTGATTTTACAGGACCTGAAAATTGTTTTGCCTTCCATAAGGGAAAGAAATGTAATTTGGCCATTTTAGTATTAACTTACATTAATGCACCTTAGCGTATATACATTTGATGTCTTAAAAGAATATAAAAAGAGAACCTAATTCACAACAACGGGAAAAGTGAATTAAGTTACCTTAATCTTACAAAAATATGTAGAGAGTAGACAGACCCTAAGTTGTGCCAGCTGAAGTAGCTCAGCAAAGTGAATCGTATTCAGCCCAGATACATCACACCAGGGTTTTAATTTATATGGACTGACATTTCTCATTTGCTTCTCTAGAGATACTTCATGAAAATGAAAGCATCCCACATCCATGCCGTTTTTAATTGTTCTAGTTGATTTATATCTTCACTTATTCACCGCCCACCTGTTAAGACTCCAGCCCTGTCGGAAACCTTGTGCTTTCTCCACCATGCCACGCACACTGCTGCTTCAACATCCTCACACTTTTGGTTCCCTTTGCCTGTGGTGCTCTTTCCCCTGATCTGTAGAGCTCATTCTTACCTCCTTCAGGATTTTGCTTTAATGTTATCTAAGTAACTCCCATTTCCTGCCTTATTTTTCTAACTGATCACCACCTAACAAAACAAATGAATGTGTGCATATATACACACATGTGTAAATAAAATCTACCACTGAAAAGTCACGTTCCACAGAGTCAGGGACTTTGTTTAGACTTACTGCTGAACACCTGCTCTACTGGGTGCTGAAGTACTTGGTGAATGGATGTTCTGTGGAGGGCTGGCATCAGAAACATCTTAGACAGGAAAAGAACAGTTCCAAATTCACCCAATTTCAGTATTTTTTATATATAAACATACAATGCCTGAAGGACTCCCCATTCCTATCCCCCACCCTCATGATGAATCTTGTAGCTTGTGAGTAAAACTGGGGTCAAGAGTAGGAACCCCTACAAAGTAAAACCTGCTCAAAGTAATCTCTATAGGCTTAGAGATTAGCCTTTGGAAAACGGATTTGCTGCTGGAATTTCAAGAACATTAGATCTGAGTCTGGCTTATATACAAAGAAAAACACCCTCAGGAGTTTTTAATCAGCTGGAAATATTCCTTGGCGGTTAGACCAAGTTATTATTCATTCATGTTACCCAACATGAACAAATACGACTAAAGGTTTTCTCTGCGGAGTCTTTAATCAAATGTGAGCTAAACCTGCAAGGACAGAGCTCCAGTAACTCACCAAAACATCCGTCAGGTAGTCCACGCTGTAGTTTTCTCCATGCTTCCGCGCCTTCCCATTGATAGAGAGGGTGTAATTATAATATTTAGAATTCTTTTCCTATGAAAGAGAGAAAAGTAAAATCTGTTATGAGGTCAGCACACCAAATTAAAGTTGGAAACCATGCTGGGCTAAACTAAACTCTGTTTAAATAGTGGTAAGAAATTTAAAAAACTGCTCTAGTCAATACTGAATTGGATTTTTTGACTATGGTTTTTATTAACTACTAGCACAGTTTCAACAATATGTCCTAGTTTAAAAAGCGAGAAATGGATCAGGTACAACAGCAAAATACATTGCTAAACCCTGTGCAATGCAGGAAAAATATCCCACAATTCACAAGCCAACAGACTTTCTTTTAAAGAGATAAAAAGGCCAATCATAAAAGCAAACCAAGTTATGTCATTAGCAGGGCTACATTAGAAGGTAAACATTTTGCATCTGCAGAATTGTGTTTAATTGTCACTGACTTCAATCATCACTCACCAAGGCATACCAGTAACTCCAGCCCAGAGGGACGTGCGCGAGCCCACCTGCATCTGGGGCTCCATACTGAAAAGCAAGACATGCAGCGCGTTAGAGGAGTCCTTGCACGTGACCAGACCAGAAGGAAACAGGAAACGTTTAGAATCTCTGTAGATCAGTACTTGAAACATGGTAGGCGCTCAATTTCTCCAAACACACACATCAGTCAAAAAGTAAAGAACACTACAATCCTAGGACCTTCTGAAGCAGGAGTTGGCAAGTTACAGCTGGCAGGCCAAATCTTGCCTGCCAACAGTTTTGTATGGTCAGCAAGCTAAGAATTTTCTTCCAACCATTAAAAATATAAACACCAATCAAAAAAGGAGTATTTCTGTGACAAGTTACATGCCATTGAGATTTCAACGATGATGACATTTTACTGGAACACAGCCATGCTCCTTGGTTCATGTAAGTCTATGGCTGCTCTCATGTGACAACGGCAGAACCGAACAGTCACAACACAGGCACACCACCTGCAAAGCCTAATGTGTTTACCTCTGGCCCTGTACAGAGGAAGTCCGCACCGCTTAGGCCGCAGGGCTCATCTGCTGAGCCACTGACGGTTTAGACTGAATAGCCAGCCAAACCTGTGGCTAACAGCCCAAATGAATCAGAGTATGAGCTGTATCAGCCTATCGCTTCAGCTGTCCCGCTGATGAAATCTGCTTTTGGACTCAAATTTATCTGATGAGATGAGTAAGTGAAAAGAGTACAGAATCATCCCATTTTATCTCAACAAGGTTTAACCAATGCCCATTTAAGGCAGTATCCCTGAGAATGAAATGTCTGTATTCTGAAGAATTTCTAACTTTGTAAACATGTTCGATGATCTTTAACATGCAAAGTAGTAAAAGTTCTCTTTATGACCCATATTCTTAACCCAATAACCTGGTATCCATACCTACTGCTTATGATTCTTTCCAAACTGACTTATTTTCCAACAAACCCACAAGGTTGCAAATCCCCCCAGTAGCTGCAGGGAGAGGGAGAATGAACAGATAATACAGATCAGAGATTAAGATCTCTAGCAACCATGGATAAATTATCTAAGAAAATGGGCATCTTCTCTTTGTCCTGAGTCCCCAGTCTTACTGCAAGAGATAACCCAAACACTCTCAAACACACTATTTCCTTTAAACTTGAACTCTGAATAAACGCTAAGGCCAATGTGGTGGATTTGAGGCCCTGAAATGTGGCCTTGGCCATTCACAATGAGCTTTTCCTCCATCCAGGCCCACAAAGCCAGCTCACTAACTACTCAGTGGTCTGCTTTAAAGGCTTAATGGCTTGAATGTCCTAAGGCTCTGGGTGTTTTCCCTTTGTCACTGATTTCTCCACAATCTCTTCCCAGTTCTCAAGTTAGAAAATGGGAGTTAAGTATTAAGTTTTATAATTCAGGAAACAGACTAAGAGGAAAAAATTCTTCACTCTGGTCCTGATCAAGGGGAAATGGAAACAAAGATACCATGACAGCCACAAGACAAGCAGAATTCTTGAGGAAAAAAGGGGAAGATGCAACAGACAACAGTAGTCCTAAGACAGTTTTTAAATAAATGCTCCTGAGACTCTTTAAAAAAAGAATAACACAGTATCCAAATCATGTAAATAATTCATGTACGTAAGTTCTTGTTTAACAGGGAGATTAGGAGAAAACAAAATACCAAAAACCTTGTAATGTGACTTGAATGGATACTAATTAAAAAACAATTAACATGAATTATATTAATTCACAGTTAATAAGCTATTATTAAAGAGAAAAAAAGGGAATAATTAGACCATCTAACATACCTCATTTAGGTATTTCCCTGCAAAAAAGGTCTGATAACCACACATTGATCTGAGAATTGCTGGGAAAGTATTTGGTTCTTGGATCTTCTGCCAAGACTTGCTACTGCAGTTTCCCTCCAAAGTGTTGTTAACAACGTGATGATTATGTGGGTACTTCCCTGTCAGGATACTGGCTCGGCTTGGGCAGCAAAGAGCACTTGGCACATACTACAAAGGGAACAGAAGCAAGAAAGACAAAGTTACACAAGACAGATTTCTCACCATTTCTCAAGAGAACAAAGAAAGGTGCTAAATACTCTAACTTCAAATTTCTAGTTTCCCATGAAACAGAGATCTTCTTTACCTGTGACACACATCATCAGAGTGGCTTTAAGACCCAAAGCGGAGACCATCAAGCAGATAAAACAAACCAAGAGAACAGATTTCTTTTTCAGCTGGTTTATTTCTACAGGATAACATAATAGTTGTTCTACTCTCATTTGCTAAAGAATATTTACATGCAAGCAAAACAGCAGAGCAGGACTTGCAGCTAATGTTGCTGAGAAGTAGAGGTTCACTCAGGCTGATCTGTAGCTTTATACATTACCCGCATCATTTTATAAATTGGACACATTCTATTTTTATTCTAATTATATTTCTACTAGCTCCTGTCATTAATAGAATTACCCTATTTTACTCAATAACATTTGTCTAGGTCTTAATGCACATCACCGATCCACTTTACAGAAGGGTAACAGTAGCTTATACTTGCACCAGCAGGGAAGGAATGCTCATTGAAGCACACCCCTGCCAAAATTACATAGTATCCCTTTGAGATACTTAGCGTTTCTTTGGCCTTTCAAATTAGATTTGGCATTTTTAAGTACTGGCAAGGATGAACATTTTCCGCATGCATACTGACCAACTGCATTCATGTGAATGGTTTGTTCATGTGCTTTGCACATTTCCCCTCTTGTTACCTAAAATCTGAGTTAAGGAAGGATTCAATCATGTCACAAATACTTCCATTTTTTACTTCTGCTTTTTAATTTTGTCAGATGTTTGACTTGTTAATTTTCACACTGGCAACTCTTAATTGTTTCTCTTTTTTATTTTCTGACCTATGTTTTGGCCAATGCCATGCTGTTCAATGGATCTTCATATTACATTTTAGTATATTTAGTATTTTGGTAAAGCCATCTCTTCCTTTAAAAATTTACCTTGATTATTTTAACCTACTTATGATTCCAGATAACTTTGGAATCACTGAATTCAGCCTAAAAAATCTTGTTGGGATTCTGATCAGAATAATCATTTTATAATCTTGTGTCTTATCACAAAAAATGAAGTGGATATCTACATATGAAGTATTTTATCCCTCACAAAATTCTGTAACTGTATTTACAGGTCTTAACCATTACTGGCCACCAGTGGCTCTTCCTGGAGTCGATATTTTCCTGCTGTGTAAGTGGAATCTTTTCTCTCCCCTGCCCCCACCATATTTCTCTAACTGGTTACATGGAAGAAAGGTATTTCTACTTTTTCATTTCTATCTTACTCAACTGTATTAATTTAAAAATCTTTCCAACAATTCTCTTGTGTTTTCTAGGTAGAAAATCCAGACAAGTGGAAATAATAATTTTGTCTCTTTCCAATAGTTTTACCTCTTAATTCCACAAGATTTATGCCAATGACTGGACAGTTCAGGAGAACATTGAGAGGTACTAGGCCCTTGTCTCTTCCCTAAAAGCAGTGCTCTGAGACTTTCATCTTAATTTTAAGTTGTGCTATTTGTTTAAAATATTCATCATAGTAAGGATGTAGTCTTCTAACAGTTTAATAAATTACAAGGAAAGGATGCTAAAATTTCAGAGGACTTTAAGTCTCTGCTGAGATGAGCATCTAATTTTCCTCCTTTTAATTACTGATGATATGCTGGTGGACAATATAACAACCACCGTTATGTAGTGGTACTTGCTTTAAGTCGGACACCGGTATAGGTGCTTGCTTTACATGTAACAATTCATTTAACCTCTGAGGTAGCTTTTAGTACCCCTATTTACTAAATGGGGAAACCAAAGGCCAAACAGGTTAATAACTCACGCAAGGTCACAGAGCTAGAAAAGAGGCAGAGAGGACATTCAGAGCAAGGTGATCTGGTTCCAGAGTCTGTGCTCGTCACCACAACACTCTGCTGCTGTTCAAGGAACTTCCTGACATTAAGCTAGGTAAGATACCACTTAGTTGGTCATGAGCATAGGTTTTGAATTTGATTTGTATTTTATTTTGGAGCTTTCCATTTATATTTTTATATAGACACACATAGACATATGCACACACAGTTGTTGTTGGGTTTTGTTTTGTTGCTATTTTCTTTGTTAGGTTCGGCTACCAGGGTTTACTGGGCTTTGTAAAGTGGCCTGCTAGCTTTTACCATGGAACAATTTATACAGTATGAATGTTACCTGATTGTTACAAGAGATTTTCAAACCTCCAACAGTGGAGTTTTAAATAAAATTCTCTAGTTCTGTTCTCTAGTTCTGAGTTGTAGATCAGACTGGCTCGGAAAATACCTGCAATTTAATCTTCAATTGGTAAGAAGTAATATTTCAATTAAAAGAATTTACATTACATTAAATAGAGTCCTTCCATCAGATCAGGCACTTACCTAGGAAAAAAACCCCACATACATTACACTAGACTACCCCAAAGAGAGTGTTTCATCTTAGAACATAACACAAATGAAACCCCAAAAAATTAAATTAGCTTCAAAACTTACAGCACTGGAGAAAGTCATCCCCATCTCTCCGATGAGAGCCTTGGTTTTCTTTAGTGGTGTCTGTAAAATAAATAATTATCTGTTAAACAATGTCTTTTAATAAACTAAAACACACAGAACAAAATTTGTGGGTTTTTGGGTATCTATTCTTAACCTTTTATTCCCAAATGATCAGCTCCACCTGACACTAAGAAACAGCCAAGAGAGTTCTGTGGGATTCTGGAGATGAACCGAACACGCTTGGTTACGGTCAATTATGTCCTGTGCAGAGTTCAGGGAGTTATAACTCCTGCAGGAAAGGAAAGTTCACAGCTGACGGAATTATTCTAGCAATGTTGATTTCAAAACAATAAAATTTTGGTGCCCTTTTCTCATCTGTCACCAGCCCCTTACAAGTAGATGAAGAATATCTATCTCCATTAACTCATTCATAGAAGCAGGATGTAGAAAATGATGTGAAAGGAGCCTTCCGCCCTTTAAAACACAAATAAGACAACACTTAGGTTCTGAAAGCCAGACAATGCCCTGAGGCTCAGAGAATGACTCAAATATCAGACTCGTAGTGGTGAAGCCCAGACACACACTCTTACTACAAGCTCAGGGCCCTCTGCCCTAGACCAATCACCTCTTCAGCTAAAGACGTGAACCAGGCGGCAAACAGACATACACAGAGCCTTGTCAGGCCAAGGAGTAGCCAGAAATTTCTTTGTTTATATCCTTGCTTTTTATCTTTTGTTCAAAACTTAAGAGTCTGACAGGTATAGACAATAACTAATTTCAAATCCTAGAGTGAGGATTAAAAGTAGGAAGACTGTAATTTATATACAAATAATAACATTTTAAAAAATCACCAGTAATATTTATTCAGATTCCAGACAGCAAGAAAGGACAATCTGAAGGAGCTTGTTTCAATTCTGAGTCAGTTCATGACGATTCTGAAGCACCTTTGAAATCTGAGACCATTCTAAGCATGACTACGTTAATAAGAGGGTCATTTTCAACATTGCTATCTTATTCCCATTGTTTTATACAGATGGTAGGAAACCTAAGGAACCCATTAGCTTGAAAGGATAAGGATTCTAACTTATCTGAGAAGAACTTTTAATGCTGAAAAAGTATTTGACAAAATTCAAAATCCATTTATGATAAAAACTCATAAAGTGGGTATAGAGGGAATGTACCTTAACATAATAAAGGCCATATAAAATAAATCCACAGCTAATATCCTACTCAACAGTGAAAAAAATTAAAGTTTTTCCTCTAGGATCAGGAACAAGACAAGGATGCCCACTCTTGCTGCTTTTATTCAACATAGTATTGGAAGTCCTAGCCATAACAATTGAGCAAGGAAAAGAAAAGGAATCCAAATTGCAAAGCAAGAAGTAAAGCTGTTACTGTCTGTGGATGGCATGATACTATACATAGAAAATCCTCAAGACATCACCAAAAACTACCAGAGCTCATCAATGAATTTGGTAAAGTTGCAGGATACAAAATTAATATACAGAAATCTGTTGCGTTTCTATACACCATACAATGAACTATCAGAAGGAGAAATTAAGGAAACAATCCCATCTACAATCGCATCAAAAAGAATAAAGTATCTAGGAATAAAAGTACCTAAGGAGGTAAAAGAATTTTACTCAGAAAACTGTAACACACTGATGAATGAAACTGAAGATGACACAAACAGACGGAAAGATATACCAGGTTCATGGACTGGAAAAATTAATATTGTTAAAATGATCATGCTTTTCAAGGCAATCTACAGATTCAATGCAATCACTATCAAAATACCAATGGCATTTTTCACAGAAGTGAAAGAAATAATTTTAAAATTTGTATGGAAACCTAGAAAATCATGAATAGCTAAAACCTTAAGAAAGAATGGAGCTGCTGGTATCATGCTCCCTGACTTCAGACTATACTACAAAGCTACAGTAATCAAAACAGTATGATTGTGCTGTACACCAGAAATGGACACATTGTAACTGACTATACTTCAATTAAAAAAAAAAAAAACCAGTATGGTACTGCCACAAAAAAAGACACACAGGTCAATGTAACAGAATAGAGAGCCCACATATAAACCAATACACTTACGGTAATTAATCTATGACAATGGAGCCAAGAACATGTGCTGGAGAAAAGACAGTCTCTTCAATAGGTGGCGCTGGGAAAAGTGGCACTGGTTCCAACGACATTTAAAAGAATGAAATTAGAACATTCTCTAACACCATATATAAAAATAAACTCAAATGGATTAGAGCCCTAAATGTAAAACTGGAAACGATAAAACTCCTAGAGGGAAACATAGGCAGAACTCTTTTTGCCATAAACCATAGCAGTATATTTTTGAATCTGTCTTCTAAAGCAAGAAACAAAAAACAAATGGGACCTAATTAAACTTAAAAAGCCTTTGCACAGCAAAGGAAACTACCAGCAAAACAAAAAGACAATGTACTGAACGGCAGAAAATATTTGCAAATGATGACTGATAAGAGGTTAATATCCAAAATATATACAGTTTATACAACTCAGTATCAAAAAACAAATAACCTGATTGAGAAACAGGCAGAAAACCAAAATAGACATTTCTCCAAAAAAGACATACAGATGGCCAACAGGCAAATGAAAAGATGTTCACCATCATTAATCAGTGAAACACAAATGAAAATCACAATGAGATATTACCTCACACCTCTCAGAATTCTATCATCAAAAAGACCACAAATCCCAGAGGAAAACATAGGCAGAACACTTGTTGACATAAATCACAGCATTATTTTTTTTTCAAACCAGGTCCTAGAGTAATGGAAATAAAAGCAAAAATAAACAAATTGAACTTAATTAAACTTATAAGCTTTTGCACATCTAAGGGATACCATAAACAAAATGAAAAGACAACCTACAGACTGGAAAAAAATACTTGCCAATGATGCAACTGAAGGGACTAATTTCCAAAATATACAAACAGCTCATACAACTCAATATCAAAAAAAAAAAAGCAACCCATCCAAAAAATGAGAAGACCTAAATAGATATTTCTCCAAAGAAGACATACAGATGGCCAACAGGCACATGAGAAGATGCTCAATATAGCTATTTATCAGAGAATCAAAACTACAATGAAGTATCACCTCACACCAGTTAGAAAGGTCATCATCAAAAAATCTATAAATAAATGCTGGAGAGGGTGTAGAGAAAAAGGAACCTCCCCACACTGTTGGTGGGAATGAAAATTGGTGCAACTACTATGGAAGACAGTACAGAGGTTCCTTAAAATAACCAGAAACAGTTACCATATGATCCAGCAACCCTACTCCTGGGCATATAGCTGGAGGAAACTAATTTGAAAAGACATATGCACCTCAATATTCACAGCAGCAAGACTTACAATAGCCAACACATGGAAACAACCTAAATTTCCAAAAACAGATGAATGGATAAAGAAGATGCAGTATATATACAAAATGGACTATTACTCGGCCATAAAAAAGAACAAAATGCCATTTGCAGCAACATGGATGGACCTAGAGATGATCATATTAAGTGAAATAAGTCAAGGACAAATATCATATGATGTTACTTGTATGTGGAATCAAAAAAAAAGACAAATTTTATTTACAAACCAGAAATAGACTCACAGACAAAAACATTCTGGGGGGGGAGGGATAGATTAGGAGTTTGGGATTAACAGATACATTATTACTATATATAAAATAGATAAACAACAAGGACCTACTATATAGCACAAGGAACTATATTCAATTTCCTGTGAGCTGTAATGGAAAAGAATCTGAAAAATATGTATGTGTAACTAAATCACTTTGCTGTACACATGAAACTAAAAACACTGTAGAGAGGCTGACTTTTTTTATGTTGTTGTTTTGTTTTGGGATAATTAGGTTTGTTTATTTATTTATTTAATGGAGGTACTGGGGATTGAACCCAAGATCTCATGCATGCTAAGCATGCACTCTACCACTGAGCTATTACCCTTCCCTGAAATTAAGATTGTAAACTGACTTCACCTCAGTAAAAAATAAGAAATTTAAAAAAAGACAAAAAAAGACCATAAATAACAAATTTTAGCAAGGATATGAAGAAAAGGAACCCTTGTACACTGTCAGTGGGAATAAACTGGTGCAGTCACTGTGGAAATCAAAAAACTAAAAATAGAACTATCATATGATCCAGCAATTCTACTCCTAGGCATATACCTGAACAAAACAAAAACACTAATTTGAAAAGATACATGCATCCCAATGTATGGTTAGTGAAATAAGTCAGAGAAAGATAAATACTGTATGTTATCACTTATGTGTGGAATCTAAAAAATAAAACTAGTGACTATAACAAAGTAAGAAACAGAATGACAAATATAGAGGACAAACTAGTGGTTACCAGTGGGGAGAGGGAAGAGGGGAGAAGGAGAGAGGCAGGGGATTAAGAGGTACAAACTACTATGTGTAAAATAAGCCAGCTATGAGGATAAATTGAACAGCACAGGCAATATAGCCAATATTTTATATTAACTATAAATAGAGTATAATCTATAAAAATTCTGAATTACTATGTTGTACACCTAAAACATATAATACTGTAAATCAACTATACCTCAATTAAAAAAATAGTAATCAAAACAGAAACAGTATTGGCATAAAAACAGACATACAGATCGATGAAACTGAAGAGTCCAGAAATAAACCCACACACTAACGGTCAATTACTTAATGACAAAGGAATCAAGAATATACAATGAAGAAAACACAGTCTCTTAAATAAATATTGCTTGCAAAACTGGACAACCACATGTGAAAGAATGAAACTGGACCACTATCACACACCATACACAAAAACTAACTCAACATGGAGTAAAGGCATCCTTGAATGTAAGTCCTGAAACCATGGAGAAGAAAACATAGGTGGTAAGCTCCTTGCTAAAACTTGGCAATGAATTTTTAGATCTGACACCGAAAGCAAAGGCAACAAAAACAAACAAGTGGGACTACATCAAACTAAAAAGCTTCTGACCCCCACACCTACAGTCAATTAAC